GTTTTGTTACCTAGGAAAATTGTGATGATTATTATGTGATGGTCAAATTCCTGAAATTTGGTCAGTGGATCCCTCTTACTCTGGCTTCTTTGTTCCTTTGAAATTGCTCCTGACATTCTTTCTGGCACCAACACTATATTTCAGAAGCATCTTCATTTGTACTTGCCTTGGAAATTAGAATTGGCTGTCCTCCTAGGAATCCTCATTCTATTCTGGGGAGAATAATAAGAGACCAAAAATGCTGTTGGGAATAAATGTTAGTGCTGGCATTGATCACACTCACCGAGGTTGCCGCTGTGTTGCCTTTAGTAATCATAAAATAGAGAAAGTGTTTCAATTTACAGTAATGGATTCCCATTGATCTTCATTTCCTTTTAGCATATTACATCGTTCTCTTGTTATCATAATCACTCTCTCACACATTGAAATTCCCACATACATATGCACATTCTGATTGAGGTTAGTTGTAAACTAGCACACGACCATATAGATTAGGGACAGCATTGGTTTATTGTATCCAGAGTTGTATCTATGTGCTGGAAAGTAGGGAAGTGGAGGTTACTGAGATCAGGAGTGTAAGTCTTTCTCCTCGCCTACCAAAATACATCTTTCCTCCTTACTCTTAGGACAAATGTTTTGTTTGCACAGGAAGATGAAGGTGAAAGGTAACAAAAATTCTGCCAATGTTCCCTTCCCAAAGGTGCCTTTATCTTTGGCTTCTGCAGTAGACTGATGCTTGCCTATCCAGCGGGGTGATCTCCTTTCCCCATGCTCACCTGCTTTCTGTCTGGAGGTCTTTATTTCTTTCCTAGAATGTAAAAGCTTTGAGAAAAGAACATTTTAGAAATATGGTAACTTCCTCTCTTCATGTTAATGCCATTTCTAAAGACTTTATGCTCCCATCTTTCAACTTTAGGAAGATGAAGAAGCTAAGGTTTAGTGATGTCCAGTGCCTCCATAGTGGTCACAAAGTACCAGTTCTAAAAGTCCCATTCCAAGCTTCTAAGATAGAATTTCTAGAGAAGAAAACCAGAATCTAAATTTCTAGCAAATTCCACAGTTGATTCATAAAACTTGAGAATCATTTTTATTGTAACTTTTGCATTATCCAGTCATTTTCTTTTCTTTTTTTTTTTTGAAGATTTATTTATTTATTTGAAAGGCAAATTTACAGAGAGGGCAGAGGCAGAGAGATGGTGGGTGGCGGGGGTGGTCTTCCATCTACTGGTTCACTCCCCAATGGCCTCAATGACCAGAGCTGCACCGATCTGGAGCCAGGAGCCAGGAGCTTCCCCCAAGGTCTCCCACGCAGGTAATGGGACCTAAACAATTTGGCCATCTTCTACTGCTTTCCCAGGCCAAGGCAGAGAGCTGGATTAGAAGCAGAGCAGCCTGGTCTTGAATTGGAACCCATATGAGATGCCGGCACTGCAGGCAGCAGCTTTACCCGTTACGCCACAGTGTTGGCTCCATCTAGTCCTTTTCCTTAGAGGAAAGGATCTTAAAATGTCCATGTGATGCAGTAATAACACTGGCCTTGCAGGAATAGTTAAGTATTTAGACCCAAGGGCAGGTGCTGTGGCTTAGCTCCAGGCTTCTGGCTTCAGATCGGCCCAGCTCTGGCCATTGAGGCAAACTGGGGAGTGAACCAGCAGGTGGAAGACCTCTTTCTCTCTCTCTGCCTCTCCTTCTCTCTCTGTATAATTCTAACTTTCAAATATATAAATAAATCTGAAAAAAAGAAAAGAAAAGAAAAATGACTTGTTAAAAAATATTTAGACATGGAGAGGGTTGTGGAGGAGGACTTGAGAGAACTGTGAATGAGACAGATTGGAGGAATTTTTTTCGATCCATGGTGCCACTTATCCAGGATAGAGTAATGAAAACTTGGAAAAGAAGCTGTTTTCAATGCAGCACAATAATAATTCTAAAAATCATTAGGAGTGTTCAGATTAACATTGTGGGTTGTGTTTTACTAAACCAGTAGCTTGAAGCATGCATATTTAATCCTCACAGTTCATGATTCAAACACTGATTTTCCAATGAATATCTTAAGATAACTCGGGGGACAATGTGATTACTAACTTTGTGTTATCTGCTAGCTCTTTCATACCAGTAGTTATATTTACTAACAATTGTACAGAATAATGTCCCAACAAAAGAAGTAATAATTTGGGAGATTAGCTCCTTTTTTCCAATTTCCCTAATTTAACATTGATTTAAAGCTACAACAAATAAGCTGAATATATCTACCTGAATTTACTTGCAATAGCTTATGAAAATTAAATATACAGAAAACATTTCAAGAGAAAACTCTATCATTTTTAATAATTATATGTACTATTAACTACAAAATGGTCTTATATACTCTGAGTAAATATTAATACTTATTTAAATTTTACATAACAATTGATAGTATTTATATAAAATATAAACAAATAAATATTTATATACCAGTTATGTAAATTCAATAAAAATATAGCATGTAAGCTTATTAAAATGTAAAATAAGAAACATGGTACAGCAATTTCAAAATTAACTTTGATAAAAATTGAGTAAATATATGAATTAAATATAGAATGAATGACTTCCAATTCTTAAAACAGAGTAACCACCTATTGCACATTAGTCTTAAAGGCAGGCTAATCAAGTGAAAACTGTGACCAGTGAGCTTTAGGAAATGCAAGCAACATGTGAGAGATAGAAAGTGGTGCTACAGTGGGTTAAGACGCTGCCTAAGAATCCAGTCCTTCATATGAGCACTTATTCAAGCCCCAGCTTTCTGCTTCTGGTCAGCTCCCTGCTGATGTATCTGAGAAAGCAGTGGAATGTGGCCCAATTGCATGGGACCCTGCTATGCACGTGGGAGATCCAGATGGAGCTCTAGGTTCCAGCCTCATTGCAACCATTTGGGAAGTGAACCAATGGATGGAAAATCTCTAGCTCTCTCTCTCTCTCTCTGTCTCTCTCTCTCTGTCTCCCTCTCTGCAATTCTGCCTTTCAAATGAGAGAGAGTTAGTTCAGATATAACATAAAAGAAGATGATTTCACTCGAAGTGGGCCAAGAGAGACAAGGGAGTCTCATGTATGTGGAAGTAGGATACAGTTAGAATGCAAGAAATGCGTCATTGTCCCAAGCATGGCCAAGTACTGATTGCTCTAACCCAGAGAAACAAGAGCAAGAAGTCCTCTTGGTAAGTAAACAGGGCCTCTTCTGCAGCACCATAATGCAATCCTTGTTCAGCATTTGAGCCATTTCAGGAGCTGCCATGAACCAATGAGAGTAGAGACACCCTCACCTCCCTGAGATTACAACCCAATGACAGGTCACAGCTCTCCTTCCTGGGCCCGGTCTCCATCTTCCTTTCACGTTCCCAACTCTGCCCACAGAATTCTGTCCGTGCTGTAAGAGGTATCCCAGGATGCTTGCTTGTATGGTACAAATACGGCTCTAAAGTCAGATAGTCTCAGTTCAAATCTCCCTACTGTATAAACCATCAGCACGCAGTTGGTTTTGATTGTAAACTCCATAGCACTGTAATAAGGATTAGATAAAATGAAACATTAAAAGCACAGGGTACTAGAGTACACACCAATAAAATTTTCCACAGATGTCATTTCTCTGTTGCTGAGAAGTACTTGCACAAATTTCCTAGTATTTTAATGCAATGTGATTATCTTTAGATGCTTGTTGGATGCTTGAGTATTCACTAGCTTTGCTAATGACTTGCTGGTGACAAAATAGTCAGATAGATGTAAAATAACCTCTGGTCCTTTATGATCACTTGCATTTAACATCTTAAATGCCAGATTAGACTAGGCACTTGTACCTCTTAAAAATGATATAGCTCTGCCTCTGATTGCCATCATTGAATTTTTAACTTCATTGTGAATTTGTTTAATTTGGCTTAATTCCTGCTGTTCACTGGCCTGCTGTTCACTGGTAATTTCTTGATATGTAGATACTGCAAGCCCATAGTACATTTAGGAGTCCTTACACACTTTCGGACTGTAATATACTTACCCAGTTTGGTCTGGCAAGTGTTAGCCAGTAGCCAACATCATATCTGGAAATTATTCAAGATCATAAGTTAAATTATAAACATCACGGTTGGTTTTATTGCTAACCTTAACTCTATATGAATTCAGTGATGTCCCTAAGTGGGAGAATGTTTCTGAAATTACTTCCATCACTACCACAACTGTACAACTGCTGTGTTATCTGAAGAATCCTGAACCAGGATGCAATCCCCATGGTGAAATGTAATCTAATACCAAGGTTCTCAAACCTAGCCATATGGTAGCAAAAACACATCTTTTTAAGTCAAAAATTATTCTAAATTTATTTGATGGCTCATTCTAGACTCATTAAATAAGAGTGGAGGAGGAAGGAGAAGCAGGTATCAGTATTATTTAAAAGAATTCTGGATGAGTCCAATGTGCAGCCAGAACTGAGACCCATATTCTAGAATTAGAGATTTAAAGAAGATTTAAGAAAAGTGGTAAAGACATTAGCACTAATTAAGGCTTCCTCTATGATCTGATCAGAAAAGTTATATATATATATATTAGGAAATGCATTTAATTTAAAGAAGAATCTTTCAGGGGCTGGCTTGTGGCACAGTGGTTAGAACACTACTTGTCTGTCTGCATCCCTCAGGGAGTGCCTGGGTTTAAGTCTCAGCTCTGATTCTTACTCCAGCATCCTGCTAATGCACCCTGGGGCACAGCAGATCATGGATTGAGTAATCAGGTTCCTGAAATCCATGTAGGAGACACAGATTGAGTTTTTAGCTCCTGGCTTCTGCCTGGCCCAGCTCTGACTGTTGCAGGCATTTAGGGAGATAAGCAATATGTGCAAAATTTTCAGAAAAATTCAAGAATATTTTCTTGGAGCTATCTGGACATATATAGTTCTGACATTTCTATGGGGAAGAACATATAATAAGTAATAGCTGTGTTTGGAGAGTTTCTCACATTTTTTTAATTACAATTTTCAGGAGAAATATGGAGCCAACTAGATGGACAGCAATCCTAGGACTTCATATGACATCAAATCTGACTTCTCCTCACATAGTAACCAGGCGGATAGATGAAATTGTCATAAACCCACATTATAATGAACGGAGAAAGAACAGTGACATTGCCATGATGCATCTCGAATTTAAAGTGAATTACACAGGTAAAGGAAATCGCTTTCTATCATAGAAAGCTCTCAGGAGCGGCACAGATAAATAGTTGTACTATGAAGTTTGTAGAGGAAATTCAATATCATCAGATTAGTAAATGAAGGTGTCCCTCCAGACCTCCAGATGCATAGAAAATGTGCAAGAAAATGCCTGAGAAAGTGAATTTTATGCTGAACGGCTCTACTCAATTCCACCTTTTTTCTAATGTCTTTCTCAATGCCCAATTAGACAAAACAGCTGCTGTATCTGTGCTCTCATGAAACAAGGTCCCCACATGAATTGCAGCGCTTATCAAATGGTTAGTTGTAGAATTCTGTCCTTGAGGGGAGGCATTGTCTCTTATTCATTTGTGTGTCTGTCCTGAGTCTTACAGGTAGTGAGTGCTTACTGAAAGCCAAGTGGCTTGCAAATTGATGCAGAAGAGCTTTAAAAGTCAGTGACCAATGCTAATGCTTCCCCAAGTGCACTGTAAAACAGTTGCTTGAAAGCTTTTTTAAAGTGGAGATAATGGGAGAAAATAAAAGACCTTAGAATATTTGCCCAAATTTCTCATAATTGATCTTGAGCAATAACCTTACCAAGATGTCATAGCAGTGGCACTATTTTATATTGAGTGCCATCTTATTCACAAATCAAACATGAATGATTAAGTACAGACTTAAAGCCTTGCTTACACTATAAAAAGGTAATTAAGAGACTACATAGAAGATCTTAAAAGACAGCCTTGGTATTTGGTTATGAAAGAATCATTAGCGTACAATGTTTTTGTTTACTTTTTTTTCTCCTAAAGGCTGATGTCTAAAAGCTGTTCAGTCAGAATAAAATAAAAAAAAAATTCAGATTTTAAATATTGAAAATGTTTGTTTTTAAAGCTTATTGAAAATGCATCTGTGTCCTTATTTTGTTGTTGTTGTTGTTTTGTGTTTGCCTTGTTTGCTTTTACAGACTATATACAACCTATCTGTTTACCAGAAGAAAATCAAGTTTTATCTCCAGGAAAGAATTGTTCTATTGCTGGCTGGGGAAGGCTTATATATCAAGGTAAATAATCAGATATGAAAAAAATAAAATTCTTACTAGTAAAAAGTATGCCTTGGAACTACCCTATGAAGATTTTTCAACACTTTCTCCCCAAATACAAAAGAATTCCTTCATGCTTTGCTACCCGCTGACAGGAAGACTTAGATTCAAGACTATAAATCGATATACCATTGACATCCCAAAATTATTTAATGGCTTGTTTTCCAAAATCAAAAATGATGCATAGTAAGTAGAACCAAACATGACTTTTTTAAATATTACAGCACTTCATAAATACTAATTATAACTGGAAGGCACATTCTCTCTGTGTGTGTGTCTCTCCCCTCCTCCCTCCTTTCTCTCCCTCTCTCTCTCTGTAACTCTTCTTTTAAATAAATAAATAAATACATTTAAAAAGCCTTATTGGTTACAGAACTCCTATCTGTCCTATCTAGAACAGAGTTTCTCCCATTCATTAGTAATTAAGCAAAGGGAAGGATGCCATAGTTTGAAAAAAGAAGGTGATCTCTGTAATCCAAAATAATTACAGCCATTGTATTTAAAACCTCTAATTGTACTCAGGATGAAAATGTACCCAGTCTTGGGAGAGCTACAGGTTCCCAGAATCAAAACTGTCACAGCTAAAATATCCTTAATTCTCAGAGAATCCATCAAGTTCTTAGTCAAGTAATTGCTTGATGATTCTGACAAAGATTCTCCACAGAAATTACATTGTTTTGCTGAAAATGCCTCATGTTTGCTCTCCATAAAGTATATTAATGTCAAAGACTGAATATTCTTATTTTTTTAAAGCTGCACAGTTGATCGTCACTGCTAAATTTTTTTCAAAGATTTATTTATTTATTATTTGAAAGGCAAGAGTTACAGAGAGGCAGGGGCAAAGAGAGCGGGAGAGGGGGAAAGGGAGAAGAGGTCTTCCACCCACCTGTTCACTTGACTGGAGCTGGACTGATCTGAAGCCAGGAGCCAGGAGCTTCTTCCAGGTATCCCACGCGGGTGCAGGGGCCCAAGGACTTCGGCCATTTTCCTACTGCTTTCCAGGCCATAGCAGAGAGCTGGATTGGAAGTGGAGCAGCCAAGTCTCAAACCAGCGCACTCATGGGATGCCAGCACTATAGGCGGCTGCTTTACCTGCTATACCACAGTGCTGGTCCTGTATATTTTTATATTTCTTCCACTTGAAAAATCTTATGATTTATTAAATTTGAAATTTACAGAGCAAAAATGATTCTTACATTGATATGTTCTCTTTTAAATTTGAAAATAAAAGATACTCTGTGACTACAATGCCGAAGCTTCAAAAATTATCCTTTAGCAAAATTTAACTTAAAACTTCAGGAAATGGTTATTTTTTATAGCTGAGTGAACTTGGCTCACATTTACTTATTGTTACTAAAGATATATAATTAATTGACTTAACAAAGTCTCTAAGAGTGCCATGGAGCCAGGAAAAAAATTACATCTGAAATAAATTTCATTTAGAAATAATGGCCAGGTCATGCTTAAATACTTTTAGGGTAATGATAATTTTAATGAATTTTATTAAGTTTGCATTTTGATTTCTATTTAATTAATTTTATAAAATACCAGTTTCCTATCTTATGAGTATATTTCACTAATTAATTAGATAAGAAAACCATGAACCAACTGTTTATCAGGAAGAAATTAGGTGAAGAATTAGTTTGTTAAATTAAGGCAGTAAGTAATCTTCAAAGAGCTTTACTGAAATTTTGATGCATATGTATGTATATATGTGTGTTTATTCCTAATTATGCTCATGAAAGTCATATTGACAATAGATGTTAAATATAAGAGCACTGTTCAAGTTTCCTTTACCAAAGAGTTTAAGCATGCTTCCAAAAGCATTTCTTCTCAATTGAGACACACCAAAGATGACTGAGGTTTTTATTTATTTATTTATTTATTTGACAGGCAAAGTTAGACAGTAAGAGAGAGAGAGACAGAGAGAAAGGTCCTCCTTTTTCCATTGGTTCACCCCCCGACTGCGGTTTTTATTACAAAACTAAAGGCTACCAAGCAGATCCTTGATCCTTACAGGATAATGGTGATTATCCTAAATTTGAATTTTCTCCCCCACTGCAACCTCTGCAATTCATTTTCTTAAAGTCAAACATTAAAAGTCATCTAGTAGTGTGTTGCTGAATTTTCTGACACAGCTGGCAATAGCCATTTATGCTTGTCTCCTTCCAAAACCCATGTTCCTTGCCATGCTGGTCCTTTGAATCAGCAATAGTGGGAGTATTTGGCAGAAAAGGAGACATATTGGGATTTTCTTTTTCTGATGAGCCAATTATTACACATTTACAAGCCAATTACTGAGTCTCATATGTGCTGCATTGCACCTAAGTTGCATAAACAGACACACATAAACCCACACATGCATACACATTTCCTCAGTCTTATTGAGTGCATGGATTAAGTTTAGAAGGAAGTAATGTCACACAGACTTTCATAATAGTGTCATATGAACTAATTTATCATCAACTTTCTTCTTTTCTTGAGGGATCTAATAAAGTTGCTAATTATTAGAAATTGCTTATCATATCCCTTTCTGGAGTATCAACACCTGCTTGTTTCACATCTCTTCTAGGAAATGGTATCTCAGTAAACAGAGATTCATACTTCAAGTGAATGAGTCATTTTATAAAAAGAATGGGAGTACACCTTGCTAAGAAATGCCTCCTTTCTCTTCAACTACATGTGGATGACAAATTGATTGCCTCTAGACCAGGACACAGTTCACCAGAGCTTTGTCCTGTGCTCCATGTGCACCTGTTCACTCACATAGCACCACAAAGTAGCTGAATACCTTTATACAGGACAGAACACCTCCTCAGGTGTCAAATGAAAAGCACTCCTGGATTTCTGAGTCATGGATAATTTCCATGAACGGCAGTCTTTGTGTCAACAAGCTTTTCTTTCATGAGCAAAATTATAACTGCTTAAAAATCACTGAAGGTGTCTAAGGACCATTTAGTTCAAGCTCCCATCCCTACAAGTCTCTGGGAGTGGGAGGAAGAAGTGCTTTGCTGCTATCCATTTGGTGAAATCAACAGATGGGCTCTATTATGTGCTATAAAATGCAAGCTTAGTGTTTAGTTCTATTATATATACACACATACTCAATAACGATGGTGAAATGTTGGAATAAGTAAGACTGATGGTTCATTCAAGGATTCGTGCTGATACCTTCTGACTGACTGACTGCATTTTCCATTTTGAGCAGGTCTCACTGCAGATATATTGCAAGAAGCTGAAGTTCCTCTTCTGTCAAATGAGAAATGTCAACAACAGATGCCAGAATATAGCATTACTGAAAATATGGTATGTGCAGGCTATGAAGAAGGAGGAATAGACACTTGTCAGGTAAATGTGTAAAACTGCTCAATATACATGTTCAGAAAGCTTTGCTATATAATTATTTCATTTCTTGACAATAATTTGAAAATAAAGAAATCATCAAGATACCTTAATGTCACCTCTTCTTTTACAAAGCTGCTACTTTTCCCTATTTGTGTAGTCCTGTTCAGTGGATCTGTGTATTAGAAACAAAATTAGATTATAAGAGCAAGAGTTACAAATCAAATTATATTTGTATGTGAGGCAACCAAGTAAAATAAGAAGTAGTGGGCTTGGGTTGAGCAAGAGACTGTGTACTTTACCTAAAAGGATTTATTTTAAAATTTTCAATTCTTTTAAACCCTATGTAAGCAATATAAACATAATATGTCTGAGGGCAAAATTGTTCTATGGGCCTCTAATTTTCCTCCCTAAATTTAGAATATTATCCAAGTGTTCAGTGACATGAAATAATTTCTAGAAATTTATCTTAGATGAAAACCATCTGGGATAAAAATCCTGGCTAGCCTAGTTAGAGCAAATTTACAGCTAACCAAGTAGGAAGCAAATAAAGAACTTATTTTTTTGCCATTATTCTGGGTCCTGAACTCCTATACTAGAATTTTTATATTATCTTTTACATTGTATTTTAGAGATCTAATACCACAAATTACTGCATTGGTAATGCCAATATTGCAATACACTTGAAATGTTGATAGTTTTTAACTGCATGATCATCTGAAAAAAAATTCCACCACATAGGAATTTAAAAATATTGGCATTTTGCTCTAGGATTTAGTAAATAAATCATCTAGTATGTTATCTGCATTTGAAAAATTAATAAAATATTAATGCAATAGTATCTACTGGGTTAAATTAAACCTGATAGAACTGACCAAATAAATTATTTATAAATGTGGAAGCAGCAATTTATATTATGAGAAGACAGTTTCACTGTGTTAAAGCGTAACATCTTGTTTTATAAATTAATAACTATGCTTATATGTCTGTATATGTGTCCTCTATTTAAATCAATGTCTCTGGTTATATTAAATTTTCAGTTTAGTTTTATGTGTATTCTCATTTGATATACACTCACAAATTTAAGACATATTGAATAACTTTCTTGGTTAAGATTTACTCTTCATCTCATACTTCCCTTTTAAAATGAAAAGTGAGCTAAAGGTAAGATACATTGCCACTTAAGGGGAGATTTATAGGATTATTGTACAGAAGAGAAATCAGTGGTACAACTTCAATTATAGTTAATGGGGATTGTGTAGTGGACACCTCACACAGTAGGCAAAAAATATGACAGAAAATGCCATTGATAATGTTAGAGTTACATTGAGCCAATAACTCATGCCAGATCTCTGAAATCTTACAGTTGGCTCTGATTTCTATGCAGTCTGAATATTTGATTCATTAGCAAGTAAGAAAGCTCTCACAGAAGGCAATACCTGTGTAATACAATGTTATCATCATTAAGTAATCAGTACCCTAGATTGTCACATGATTTTCCTTTTTCAGCTTTAATGCTATATTTTATATGAAGATTAACTGATTAAATGTGAATGCATTATTTAAAACTGTGAACATATATTATTCATCTATTACTTGAATAAGCTCTTTAAAAGAGGATTTTTCAGTCTTAAAGTGTCAAAGAACTTGCCTTAATCATTCACAAGTTCTTTCATATCTCCTAGTTTACCAAAAGCTTGCATTTTTGAAGCAGTTGTCTGATGTAAAGAAAACAAGAATGGCTAGAGAACGCCTTTTCCTTATAAAAATGCAAGTGAATGGCACTCTACTCATACCTCAGAGTTGTATTCTTCACCAGTGGTTTCTAAAGCAAGGCTTCCAGTACCTCTGATCAGCAACATTCAAGACTTAGTAGAAACACAAATTCTATGTCCCAGAAACCTTGAAAGTGGGATCAGTAGAGTAGGATTTATCATGTCCTTTAAGTAACACTGGTACATTCTGAGGTTCAAGAATCTTTGTATTAAACAAAAATGATCACCAGCCCCTACACTAGAGTCATTCATGACCTAAAATGGTAGTGTATAGATGACCTGCAATCGTATTTTTGAATTGATTTGCTTTCCATTCATGTATTTATATGAATTGACCACATATCCACTATTTTCTTTTTCAATTCACTCTTTAGGGGGATTCGGGAGGACCACTGATGTGCCAAGAAAACAACAGGTGGTTTCTTGCTGGTGTGACGTCATTTGGATACCAGTGTGCCCGGCCTAATCGTCCAGGGGTGTATGTGCGAGTTCCAAGGTTCACAGAATGGATAAAAAATTTTCTAGATTAGAGAAAATTTCCTAAAACAAACGTGAAAGTTTGGCAGTTTTCCCATTCCACTTTAAGGAGCATGGAAATTGAGAGTTTTATGAAAAAATAAATAACAACCTTCATTCTTACATAAGTCACAAAAATGCTGGGGAAAGATGAAGGGAACAAAACAAATGCCTGTTTGCCATAAAAAGTAACTTTAAATACATTTGATTGCATTGTGAACAGGTTTTTTTTTCACAGATATCATAATTGTCTTTGCCCTTAATCATTTTTTTCATCACTTTCTCTTATTTAAAATAATATTATTTACAAGCACATACTATACACTTAAGGAAGCTTAAGCAAAATTAAGAAAAGATATGAAATAAGTTGTTTTCCAAGATTACCTCATGGTTTAAAATAAACTAATATAATCTATGTAGCTCCTGTTTGGCTTGCTATTAGCAGAATCTCAACAGTGTTCCCAACTTTTATTTTCAGATGCATTTCCATTTCAACTTGAGTATAATCTTAATATTTTATCTGTTCCTTAAAAATATTATTGTAAGCTTGTGGATATTGCATATTCCTGTAAGATAAGCTAATTAAAAAACAAATAGGCATAAATTTATTTATCACCTAGCATCGTAAAATAAATTAAAATAGTTACTCTATACAGATCATTTCTTACCTGGATTACCCATCTGCCCATTTATTTCCAGCTAGAATTTTTAAAGCTCCAAAAATATTCATACATATTAAAGAAATGTAACTATTACAAATGTTTTCCTTGGTTTATGTGAAAAACTTACTTAGACACAGCTGAATTGCTCATTAGGTTGCCAAAAATGTGTAATAAATGAATTTGCTTCACTTATTTAATCTCTTGGATTATTTCCAGAGTAAGAACAAACTGGAATTTAGCTTACTACACAGAATGTGTTGAATTGTTTGCGGGAACAAAATTCATAACTACTTAATACAACACACACACATACACACAAATACATACACAAACACATTCTTGCATGGTCCATATAATAGAAAAGACAGTAAATATTAAAGGAGTAGAAAGAAGGGACCAATCAGTCTGGGCTGGCTGAACATAGGAGACTTAAACCACACCCAGAAGGAATGATTATTGTAGATGCATTGAAGGGTACACTGACGACCACCATGCAGGTGGGAGTAATCTCTAAAGTTCAAGGAAAAGGTTTCATTAGAGAATAAATTCTTTTATCAAAAGACTGCTGATTGTTGGAGAAAGGAGATTAAATGTCATAGAACTTTTCAATGACCTGATCTTAACAGGAAAGATGGAGCACTAGGGGTAGGGTATGTTGTTTATCTTCAGTACTTGAAAAGATTTTTGTATTTTATTTGCATTTCGAAACACACATTCCAAGTATTTTCTGAAGCAGCAAACACAGCAGATACACCATGGATTCATATTCATTTTTCAAGGTTGAGATAAAATTTTTAGATACTCCCAGCACAACATCATTACCATTTTCTAAAAGGAAGGACGTTTATTGAATCACCTTTAGTCACGTAGGGGTTTAGTCACTGGTGCAGGAACAATTATCCAGACTTGGATAAAGATAAAAGGCAGAGCCATAACCTTTCCCTTATGCTTTTCTGCTTCTGCCTTGTATCTGCAGCTGTCATAATCTTGGGTGGCATAGACGAAAGAAAAAGCCTAGTTTTTCTCCTGATATGGCCCAGCTAAAGGGAGAAATGCATGATGGTTGATTGGAGAGAAGAGGTAGATCCCAGCAGCTGGTCTCCCAGTGTAAAAAGATGGGCAGCCAAGAAAAGAAATAGGCTAACTATGGGCAGGTCTAGGATTAGTTGCAGCTGTGCCTTCTCTCAGTCTCCAAGCAGCTGGAAAGGGCCAATGCCCACTAATTTCTATTTTGCCTCAGTTTTGCCAACCAACTCTAGTTGTTAATTGTGTTAATGAGAGCACTTTATTATTCAACTGAGGAAAAGAGGGGATGGGGAAAAGATTGGATTCCCCTGTTCACTCTAAAACCACAACTTTCATTCTTACCACATTTAAATAGTAATTTGTTTTCATTTCCAAGCATTGATGAGAGACGTATCTGTATTTTGCTCATATGAGAGAGACAGTAAAACACCCATGATCGATCTTCAGAAACAAGAACTCTTTATTTGGTTCAAAGGAGTACCAGGACATTTTAAGACAAGATAATTACAACTCTCTGGAGAAAAAGGAGTCAGACACTTGAACTAGGAGAAGATAAGACAGAAAGGAGCCACTGTTTACTATCTCAACCAAAGAGTTATCAACAAATCTCCACCCATTGCTTATCTTAGTTTCTTCTTTCCTGAAATATCAGTGTTCTGTGCTTCCACTGGTCCCCAGTATAAGACCTCTTTTTATACTAATAGAGGATAAATAGAACTAGGTAAACCTTAGAGGAACTCTACAACTACCTGCTTCCAGTGTCAATTCTAAAACCCAAACAATCGTGTTTGTTTTGTGGGCAAGGGAGGGACCATACTGATTCTGGACCTCTCAGAATTATATAGGCAACATGTGAAGACATATGATTTATATTGTGTATGCCACTTCAATTGTTCTAGATTGACTGAATTACTGTTTATACAGCTATTAATAAAGTAATTCTATTACAAAATCTGTTGAATTTTACACTAAAAATAATTTTAAGGCACATGTCTTGCACAAGTGAAATTAGACAATTCTTGCCTGTAAGTTAAATGTCTGAGATTTATACCACAGTTAATGAAACAACTTCTTATTTCTGAAGAGATTTCCTAAACATTGTCCCACCAAAACCAAAAGAAAGAAGGTGAACCACTTCTAGCAAAAAAAAAAAATTCTCTATAGTAATATATTTGTGTGATGGTAATATATCGTGTGTGGTGTGAATTTAATTGATAATAGTAAACTTCTTTAATCAAAACAACATGTATTGAAAAATGAAATGCCATAAAAATAAATATTAGAACAGTCCATTTTTATCAAACATTTATGCAAAGGCAAAATATATTTGCACACTGTAAATTTCAATACAATTTACATCAACTAGATTACACCTTATGACAAATGAAAGAAATAAAAATAACTGCTTCCAACACACTCCTGAGTGTTGACAGCAATTTTATCTGTGTGGTCCATTCCATTTACTTGAAGTTTGGTGCATCCTTTAGCAAAATAAGCATGTCTCACTCCATTATTAGCACAGCGCATTTTGTAAATGAAATAACAAACATATAAAATTATTTTAACATTTGCCTCAAGGGGGAGCTTACAGTTCATCTTGCAGATCCTTTGAGAGTTCAAGCCATTGCAAGCTAATGTTCTGATGCCATTCATTATACAGATCCAGAATTACAAAACCCTTTTCTTTTCTGGAGCCAAGTCAATAAATCCTTATACTTCCATGCCACTTTCCTTTCTGGTACTTTTCGAAATCCACAGTGTGGACTGGTTTGGGCTAGTTTTTGTTCTTCCTTTACTGAAAAACACAAGGAGAAGTAAGTTCAGTGTATGAAATTCCTTATCAGACGAGGCATATCTGGTCCAATGGAGATTTTTCAGGCACTTATTTAGAAAAAGATCCTTCTTTCACCAGCAATTTTTCCCATTCCTACAAAAGTTCTGGGTTATTCTCATGTGTGATGATGACAGATAGCCCTTATGAATAGTAAATGTATATATCTTTCTCTGTTTGATCTATCACAATTTAGAGCTCAGATATGCACATACAAAAATGTGGCTGACACAGTACTAAACACTTTCATTTAATTCAGCAATAAAACTTTATTTTCTTTGCTCAATGATTTTTGAATTTTTTTTTTTTTGAGTAAAGCAATCTTGCCACTGAAACTGCCACTGTGTGCTGAATTTCCTGTCAAATCATCAAAATAATGTACTAAGTGTACGAACTGGCTTATTCCTCTTCCTCCTCCCTGTTAAGTTTTCTGGTCTTGTACATAAGTTGGTTCCTGAAAGCTCAATCATCCCTTAGACTCTAAAACCAGTGTAATTCAGTAACAGATTCAGGCTTTGGTAACTTAGTAGGATCTGCATTTTTCCAAGTCTAAGATAAAACTTCACTTTGGTCAGATCTAGAATTCTGGCCCATATTTACAGCCCATATCTAAGGTTCTGCTGTCTTCCATAAACTGATTGCATTTATGGCTTCTGTACATATATCTATTTGTGAGTTTACTCAAGTCATCCTCCACTTGTCAAGATCTATATCTACAAGGTCTAATTTCCTAAGGATTATGTCTCTCCTGGATCATTATTCATAATCTGTCCTTATTTTACTCTGTTCTACACTTATTCATCCTCTGACCCATTCCATCCATCCAGAGCCTAGCCTCCCACATCTGCTCTAATCCCCAGAGACATGGCTCCTCCCCACCCTATCCCACAGTCTCAAATAACCAGGCCTTGCAAAATTCCTTCAACAAGAGAAATAAATCAGTTCTAACATACCTTTCTTTTACCAGTTTTGTCAATATTATTTAATTGACTTCAACTTAATTATTTTGTGGTTAATAATATGTTATGTCCAAACTTATGTTTTGTAGATTTTTACCCAAATAATATCAATACTTTTATTCTACAAAGTCATTCAACATAAATGAAAACTACATCAAGCTAAGTTTATCAAAGTACAGAAAATTTTTACATGGTTAAAAAGGTGGTTAAGTTGTTAACAGTGGTATTGTGTAGAATTAGTATTTTGTTTCAGGATTATTATCAGTTAAGGGAACAAGAGTTATTTGGACATGAAATGGAAGGATAGAAACCATCATGTGTACCAGACTGGCATTTAAACTTTCTGCAAGACACTCAGATGATAATGGTGATGAGTCTTTCATGAAGTTTCTCCTTGCTCTCCTGGAAGAGAGGAAAAGCGGAGGATCTAAGAATGAAGAATTAGGTTCTAAGTAGATTCTGGCATGTAGGGTGGTCTATTTTGGTTCATTTTCTCACTCTGAGAATTTAAGCAAGTGAAAACTACACAGGTTTTCAACCTATAAAAACCTGGGGACTGAATTTGCTATTTATGTTATATATTAAGTTTGCATGGATCAAGGGGAATTTATCTCAAATCCTTCTACCTCATTGCTTTTCACAGTGAAAATCATCTTTCCATTGGTAGCCTTAGGAATTAGAGCAGGAAACTAAGTATTTACTATATGCTGAGTATCTCTTACTTGAAGTGGTTGGGACTAGAAATATTTGGGGCTCCAGATTGTTTTGCATATTTGAATATATACACATACATAATGAGATATCTTGGGTATGGGATCCATGTCTAAGCATATAATTCATTTGTTTCATATGTATTTTATACACACAGCCTGAAGGTGATTTTATACAATATTCTTAGTGCATCTGTATTTTTACTTTGATCCATAACACAAAATCAGATGTGGAATTTTCCACTTGTAGCATCATGTTGATACTCAAAAAGTTTCAAATTTTTGAGCATTTCAGATTTTAGATTTTCAGATTAGGTTCCATCAACCCATATCTTCTTTATTTTGTACAAATTATTGAAAAAATTTTAACTGGATTCCTCATGTATATTTGAAATCCAAGAGGATGCAAAGTAAAGTATCAATTTTTCCAGGTTTTATTCATCATTATTAAAAATGTTTTATTTTAACATCCAGTTGGATATTTTAACAAAATTTATATGATCCACTTAGCATTTATATCTAGTAATTTTTTTTTCTGGACATTTTGTCACTTAGTGAGATCTGTATGGTTTATTTCAGAAAAGAAGAAGATGAAGTAAAGTCAAAAGGAAAAAAAGAATTTTTTTTGCAAGTCTTCCTGATAGAGGTGTTCTCTTGACCAGTGCTTGTTTAAAACTGAAAAACAATGCCTAGTTTAATCCAGCAAAAATGCTCTTATTTAAACCCACCATCTTTTATTTTTTTCTGTTGATACATATTTCATATTTTTAATTACTTGCAAATTGACAAACATGGAAAAACTTCACTTCTTCAATTCAGAGGTATGGGTAAGCAAATGAAAAAGTCAGAATAATTCCAAAATACTTGTTAAAATATCTCACTTTACTTCGAGACTCCTGGCAAAAAAGTGACTTATTTTTACCCCTGCAGTTTATATCCTATTCTTCAAGGTCCTTTTGAAATAAAATGGAAGCCTATGACTTGAAGTTTGAAAAGTTACTTCCAAGTACACCTGCAAAAATCAAGTTGCATAAGTTGATATCAAGATTGAAGGGGTTTGCATTAATTCTAATTAATGAAGACACAGTATAATGTAGTGCATGTGTTATAAACTCACAAACATTGATTCAATCCATCACATGCACTAACTGAGGGCTCCAAGGCAGACTAAGTAATCCATCTAGACCACCATCTTTTCAACTGAAAGATAGAAACAGAAATGTACCCACTTCACAAGGCTCATGAGGATTAAATGAGATATGGCACGAATCCTATAATGAAGATATACCATATTGGAATGAATGCACTGGATTTGTACTGACATATAAGAAACTCAGAACTTTCTTAAGGCAAATTAAAATATAATTAATTTTACACTAATATCTTAAAAACATATCTGAAAGCCTTTTAATGTATTTCATATTGTCTCTACACACAGAAATTATTTACCTTTTATGCAGCATCTGGAAACAGCAAGTTCCAAAAGCAACCAGTATCAATAAGAGCAGCGGTATTGTTGGTATGACAACATAAATAAGATTGGGAATAATGCCTACAAAAGTAAAACAGTCTTAATGTACAAGGAGAGCTGAGTTAGGATTCTAACACCAGAATTACGAAAGGAGTTTCCCTAAAATCAAGGTAAAGTGAAATTAACATCAATAAAAAGATTTCAAAGTTCTTCTCAAAATACTGATAATTCTAATAAAATATTCAGGTTTTGGAAAAATTAAAAACAAAATTCTACTGAATTATGATGCTCAGGCTTAATATTCATATGTTCATAACTGTTGTTTATCATTCAGTCATGGGCTAGTTTTCATAATTTATTGATAATCTTAGATATTTCATTTCATTATTACTTCTCATTTACTGCTTAGAGAAACAAGAACTGAATATTAAATAATATTTTATTAAATCATTGTTGACTTATTAGCTAAATAATTCTCTCAGCCAGTAAGCTCATTGCCATGACAATATACAAGTCTGAAATTAAATTGAAATATGTAAATATTAACTGATGATGAAGTCATAACTCAAAGACACAAGGCTGCAGAGGCACAAAGACCTGATCTTAATTAAGTCCTAAAATTAATTATTTTTAATCCTATTCTATCACACTTGACAATGCCAGGGATGCTTAGTAAAATGAAAAACCGCAACACAGAAATCCCATATAGCTTAAAATGACTTTATTAAGCATATTTTCAATATCTTCAGGGAGAAAATATTCCTAATGTAATTATTTACAAAAAGATTTAATTATGTTTTTCAGAAGATCTGGATGATTTTAAAATCCAGCACCTGAAAGGTGAAAAGCACTAAATCTTAATATCATGTCTAAATCAGATAAGCAAATTGAAGAACTACAAATTTAGCTTGCAAATTCAAACTCATCATCATAACTAATGTAAATACTTCTGGTCAAAGTGGCCAGGCATGGGTTAAGTATCCACATAACTGCACATCACTTCTTTTGTTAACAGAGAAGATATTCATATGGTCTAGTGACAGAGTATCTGGGCAATGATTTGCGATTTTCTCCTTAGGCCACGCCTAAAGAGATCACGCATTTTAAAGATTCAGGAAATATTCCTTTTCCCTTCAAAAGCCATTATCACTGCTAACATTTAATGATAAAAAGGAAAAAAAAAAGAAAGAAAGAGAGAAAGTGTTTCCTATATTTTTAATAGACTTCAGATCACCTGTGGAAAGAGTTTGAGACTCTGGGTCTTGGGATCTATCTTCACAAGGCAACTAAGATAAACATTTTTTGGACAACTGGTATAGGGTTATGTTAAAAAGAGACCACCCCTCCCCAGCTGGCACTGTGGCATAGTGGGTAAAGCCACCACCTGCAGTGCCAGCATCCTATATGAGCGCCAGTTCAAGTCCAGGCTGCTCCACTTCTGATCTAGCTCTCTGCTATGGCCTGGGAAAGCTGAAGAAAATGGGCCAAGTCCTTGGTCCCCTGCACCCATGTGGGAATCCAGAAGAAGCTCCTGGTTCCTGGTTTCAGACTGACACAGCTTCGGCTGATGCAGCTGATGGAGGAGTGAACCAGCAGATGGAAGACCTCTCTCTCTCTTTGCCTCTCCTTCTCTCTCTGCGTAACTCTGATTTTCAAATAAATTAATAAATCTTAAAAAATAAAAAAGAGCCCCCAACTGACATAAAGAAGTGTTGGAATAGCATGCCATTTGCATTGGGAAATTTATGTGTTCTTTGTAGTAGTGGTGTGGTGTGCTGGAGGCAGCTGCGCTGAGTTTATTGTAAACGTCTCTTCCCAACCCATCCCTGTTCAGGGATGTCACTTTGGTAGCCCGAAATTGACTAGGTAGGACCATTTCAACCATGGGAATTGGCAAAGGTTACAAATCAGGTTTATTATTTTGTACCCCATCTCCAACACAGACAATTCCTAAATATTTACCAGCACACCACATTTTGTAGGTCACCAAATGTGTCAATTTACATCATGACTTCTAAATAGTGTTGGAGAAGTTCCTTATAGATACAGGTTATGGTGGAGATCACTTGGTTTAGTCCCAACTTGAAGCCAAAATGTGAAGAAAACAATTCAGATTCTTGTATTCAAAAACCATCTTAATATAATTTTTTTGGTAACCAAGTTCAAAAGTAAATTTCTATAGGCTCATATTAGTGCACCATTTCCCCTAGCAAAAACAAAAAAAAATCACCTATATCAAGGGGAAACTGTGCTTGAATGTACAGTTCTTTTCTTCAAAAAGGAGATAAAGACACATAAACAAATTACCTGCTTCAGTAACAACCACATTTTCTTGGGTATCTCCTGGTTGATTTGTAAGATAAGGTTTTTCCACAGGATCTGTTGGATGAACCTCTGTAATTAAATAGCACTAGTATTATAAATAATGATTAAATAAGAGCTGTAAACACAGATAAAATTTTATCATAAAGCAAAACATCATGATTTCGATATAACAATAGTTTACAGCTAAAAGTATGTTCTGAAGTCAAATTAACATAAAATGATCTAACTATAAAGTTAGTATTTATCTGTCTTTGAATAAAAGATCCATTTGATGAATTCCCTTTGAAACTCCAAATTACATTTAACAATCAACAGGTAGTCTGAGCTGATAAAAGCCTGCTACAGCCAATAAAAACAAAGCAGACACAAAGTTGGCCAAAAATCAATGAATAGTAGCCAGCACTGTGTAGATTAACCCTCCGCCTGTGGCACCGGTATCCCATATGGGCGCCAGTTCTAGTCCCATCTACTCCTTTTCTGATCCAGCTCTCTGCTGTGGCCTGGGAAAGCAGTAGAAGATGGCCCAATTCCTTGGACCCCTGCATCTGCGTGGGAGACCCGGAAGAATCTCCTGGCTCCTGGCTTCTCATCAGCTCAGCTCTGGTGGTTGCGGCCATAGGGAGTGAACCAGCGGATGGAAGACCTTTCTCTGTTTCTCCCTCTCACTGTCTGTAACACTATCTCTCAAATAAATTAAATAAATCTTTAAAAAACATCAATGAATATAGAATGCCAGGCATTAAATATAATTTGAACACAGGAAGAGATTTTATACTAAAATCAGAGTAATATTTAGGTTTCTCATTGTAGTAATGATGATCATATTTGGAATTGATAATTTAAGCAACAGCATTCTAAAGAACTTTTCTGCCCTATACAATGATATCCCTAGGTTTGTTTCTCAATAATTTTGTCTACTTATTTAAATAATAATAAATTTAGGCTTGCAAACTGTTTATTGTTTCATTAGATGAGAACTCTTAAATCACTACAAACTTTAAAAGTGTTAAAATTCTGGGCCGGCATTGTGGCAGAATAGATTAAACCACTGTTTGCAGTGCCAGTATCCTATATGGATGCTAGTTCATGTCCTGGCTACTCCACTTCTGATCAGCTCCCTGCTAATGGCCTGGGAAACAGTGGAAGATGGCCCAAGTCTTTGGCTCTTGGAACCCATGTGGGAGACCCAGAAGAAGCGCCTGGCTGGCTTCATACTGGCCCAGATCCAACCATTGCAGCTATTTGGGAAATGAACCAGAGAATGAAAGACTCTCTCTCTCTCTCTATTTCTATTTCTATCTCTCTCTATCTCTATATCCATCTCTATTTCTCTATCTCCAAATCTATCTCTATCTCTATCTCTCTTTCCCTCCCTTTCTGTAACCTTGATTTTCAAATAAATAAATAAACCTTAAATCTTTTTAAAAATATTAAAATTCCTTATCATGAACCGGTATACTCTATCTCCTTAGTGTTCTCTAAGGAACACTGCTTTTTAAGCTAATAATTCAGTGACAGTAAGTTTTTTTTTTTTTTAACTTGATCCATACGTGTATGTCTATTTACTTTTCTCAGATTGTTTCTTATTTATTTGAAAGGCAGTTACAGAGAGAGATATGGACACACACACGGGGAGGGGGGTGAGGGAGAGGGAGAGGGAGGGGAAGGAGGATGGGGAGAAGGAGGTAGAAAGAAAATCTTCCTTCCTCTGGTTCATTCCCCAAATAGTCACAACAGCTGGGGTGGAAGCTAGGAGCCCATTGCTTCTTCCAAATCTCCTGCATGGGTGCAGGGGCCCAAGAACTTGGACCATCCTCTGCTGCTTTCCCAGGCACGTTAGCAGAAAGCTGGATCAGAAGTGGAGCAGCTAGGTCTCAAAGCAGCACCCATATAGGATGCTGCCATTGTAGACAGAGGCTTAAACTGCTTTGGCACAGCACCAGTACCTCTATTTACTTTTGTCAATTGATGGGGAAAAAAGAACATGTGTCCTCTTATATAGTCTTTAGAATACAAAAGCATTTTAATGTGATTTTTACTATTCATATTGTCATGGAGTCTCCATGCACTGGGAATTCATATGCCATCTTGTATAATATTTATTACACTGTACACAGGAATTGATAGCCTCCTGTGAGTTTCATACTCAATATTCACCTACACTCACTCTTGTACACTCTTTTACAGAACCTAATAACTATGACTGTAGGTGGTCAACTGGTATTCATTGAACAAATGACATAGATATTACACAATTTATCAACATAGAATGGGTTTCTGTATGATAATCTTAACAAACTTTAAATTAATGTAATTGCTGTCTGAAAAAAATAACATAAATATTACACAACTTACCAACATAGAATCGTTTTTTTTTTTATTTTAAGATTTATCTTATTTATTTGAAAGACAGAGTTACAGGGTGAAGTAGAGACAGCAAGAGAAAGAGGTCTTCCATCTGCTTGTTCATTCCCCAAATGGCCATAGCAGCTGGAGATGAGCCAATCCAAAGCCAGGAGCTTCTTCCAGGTCTCCGACTTGGGTGCAGGTGCCCAAGAACTTGGGCCATCCTCTGCTGTTTTCCCAGGCACATTAGCAGTGAGCTGGATTGGAAATGAAACGTCCAGGCCTCGAACCGACGCCTGTATGGGATGCCAGCACTGCAGGTTGGGGCTTTAACCCACTGTGACACAGCATCAGCCCAAACAAGTTATTTTAAGATATTAAGTTATTTAAGATATTAAACTTTAACTTGCTGTTTAACCAGCAAACTTTCAGAAACATACTTTTATAAATACTATTTTTAGTGTCTAAAAGAAGTACATAAGGCAATTTTCATATGAAAACTATATTCAGACACTGGTAGACCCAAAGAATAGATATACAGTTCGCAGACCAATAAAAAAGTAGGAGAGTAAGTAAGCTTAAAAATAGATATTCAGTTTCTGCTTAGTTATGTTAACTTTTTTACCTACTGCATGTCATTAGCCAGGTTTTTAGATGGTATGTAAAAGCAGAAAGAGGATACAAAGTTAAAATTACATTATATGAGGCCGCTTCTGTGGCATAGCAAGTAAAGACACCACCTGTAGTACTGGCATCCCATATGGGCACCAGTTCTAGTCCCAGATGCTCCACTTCTAATCCAGCTCTCTGCTATAGCCTGGGAAAGCAGTGGAAGATGGCCCAAGTCCTTGGGCTCCGCACCTGCATGGGAAGACCTAGAGGAAGCTTTTTGCTCCTGGCTTCGGACCGGCACATCTCTGGCCATTGTGGTCATTTGGGGGGTGAACCAGCAGATGGAAGACCTCCCTCCCTTCCTCCCTCCTCTCTCTCCCTCTCTCTCTCTCTCTTTCTCTCTGCCTCTTCTTCTCTCTCTGTGTAACTCTGACTTTCAAATAAATAAATAAACCTTATTTAAAAATTATATTATAATAGTAAAATGGGAGATAAAGTTCAAAGTAATCAATCATTTATTGATTATTTATATATTTTAAGTAGATACATTCCTTAGTCCTCCAATCCTCTCACTACTAGGAGATCAAGCCCTGTGGCATAATTTTGACACAGTGGTTAAGATGCTAGTTAAGATTCTTGCTTCCTACATTATACCACCTGGGGTCCATTATCATTTCTGGCTCCTGATTCCAATTTCCTGCCAGCACAGACTCTGGGGGGCAACTGGTGAAGGTTCAAGTAGTTGGATACCTGCTTCTCATGTGGAGACCTATTTTGAGTTTGCAGCTCCTTGCTCTGGCCCTAGGCCCAGCCCTGCCCCATTGCAGGCACTTAGGGAGTCAACCTCCACATGCGAGTATTCTCTCTCTGCCTTACAAATAATAGAAAATTTAACAACAAAATTTAAAAATCAGAGCCTGCATTGTGAATCAGTGGATTAAGCCACTAGCTACAATGTCAGATCCTGTATCAGATCTCTGGTTTGAGCCCCAGCTGCTCCACTTCTGATCCAGTTCCCTGCTAATGTGCCAGGAAAGCAACAGAGGATGGCTCAAGTACTTGGACCCCTGCACCTATGTGGAAGACTCAGATGGAATTCCTGACTTCTGGCTTTGTCCTGGCCCAGACCTAGCTGTTGTGGACATTTGGGAGTGAACCAACAGGTGGAAAGTCTTTCTGCCTTTGCTGCTTTCTGTCATTTTGTCTTTCAAACAAATTAAATCAATTTTTTAAATTAAAAATCAAATACGGAATGTGTAGCCAAGGGATTTAATCAAATGAACATCCTTCACAAGCCAGACACTATGTTCAAAGAACATTGACCAACTACAAAATAAAGATAAAAATGTTAATGAGTAAAATGAAGAATAAAATCCTGATAACACTATTAAAAAAAGCTATAAACCTGCACATGAAACTATGTATACATACATTATGGAATACTATTCAGCAGTAAAAAAATATGAAATCCTGTCTTTTGCATCAAAATGGATGCAACTGGAAAGCATTATACTTAGTGAAATAAACCAGTCATAAAAGACAAATACCACATTTTCCCTAATCTGTGGCAATTAAGAAAGTACCTAAAAAGTAATGTATAAGAGTGAAATCACATTTTGAGATGCAATGACTGTTTATAGCCCTTATCTAGACTGTTGAGGGTGTTTTTGTTTTCTTTTCTTCATACTATTTGTTGAAGTCTTAATTAGTGTAGAGTTAATCTTATGAGTATAAAGCAAAATGAAAATAGATCTTTGTAAAAGATCTATTATGTTCCTCAATCTGCATATATGAAATAAATGAAATTTGTATACCCTAAATAAAATCTAAACAAATAGAAATATGAAAAGAAAGAAAAAATTATAAACAAAAATCCTTCATATGTGCTTATACAATACATAAAAGAATCTTTTAATGAATATACATTATTTGTAGATTTGGGTAAAATACTTAAGACAAGGAAAAAATATTTTACATTTCAAATGCTCTTATATGAGCAATAAAAATCTAGATTACTAACACAAAACAAGTACAGACGATTTTTTTTTTGACAGGCAGAGTGGACAGTGAGAGAGAGAGACAGAGAGAAAGGTCTTCCTTTGCCGTTGGTTCACCCTCTAATGGCCGCCGAGGCTGGCGCGCTGCAGCCAGTGCACCGTGCTGATCTGATGGCAGGAGCCAGGTACTTATCCTGGTCTCCCATGGGGTGCAGGGCCCAAGTATTTGGGCCATCCTCTACTGCACTCCCGGGCCACAGCAGAGAGCTGTCCTGGAAGAGGGGTAACCGGGACAGAATCCGGCGCTCCGACTGGGACTAGAACCCGGTGTGCTGGCACCACAAGGCGGAGGATTAGCCTAGTGAGCCGCGGCACCGGCTAAGAAGATTTTAAGGTTAATACTATCCTAAATAATGGAGCAATTTATCTAAAAGCTCAAAAGAAAGAAGAGGGAAATGTTGTATTATTGCTTTTTGTAATTATTTGAGAAGCAGAGAGACAGAAAGAGAGAAAGGAAGGGAGTGTGTGTATGTGTGTGTGTGACTGGGCCATGGCTAGAGTCCAGAACTGAGAACACAATCTAGGTCTCCTCTGGGTGTGGCAGGCATCCAGCTACTGGAGGTGTCAGGATCTGCATTAGTGGGAAGCTGGAGTCAAGATGCAGAGCCAAAAATCAAACGCAAACACTTGATCATGAAACATAGACATCTTACTACTGCACTAAACACCCACTCTACCAAAATCTAGTGAAAATATTACACATTATTTGCTTCATTGATAGCTTAAAATATCAGATAATCTCATCTTGATATTTTTCCAAGAGAAAAATGGAGAAAGAACATAATTGTGTAACAGATGGTTTTCAAAGGCTTCCAGGAGAATAAAATGATGGGTTTAGCAACCAAGGGGGGTAAAGAATAAACTCAAAAGGGATATAAAAACTTGGCTAATATACTCAAGAGCAGTACAAACATAACAGAAGGCTAAGTCTAATCCAAATAATCCTTGTGCTTTACAGTCTTAGGGGAAAAGGAATCATGTAATTTCAAGAGAATAATGGGAGCAGAAGTACTTGATTTTAATTGTCTTCCAGGAACACATATAATGAGGTCAAGCAGACTGCCCTGCAGATGAGTTAAACCAATACTTCCAAACACTGAGGAGGGGGAAAACAGGAAAAAATTCAAAGCCTAAGTATATGACTTTTCAAGTGATTTTTAAAAATATGAGTTTATGGGGCTTAGATTAATCTCTCTGTCAAATGTCAATTCTCTTGAGCTGCCCTTTTCAAAGTAATTCAGATTTACTGTTTACAATAGAAAAACAGCCTTGCATGGTTCAGATCAATGTAATCCTCCCATTTTTCCATAGGACAAGAAGTTGGAGATTTCAAAAGAAAGCTCAGTGAGGGGCATTATTTCAAATAATGGGAGTCATGGGGAGAAAGTGTCACATATTTGTGTTCATTATGGTGGAATGAGCTATAATCTTTCTGATTTTCACTGAAGACCGCATGCCAAGTATTATGCCATGAAGTGATAAGCTAATGTTCCAAGAGAAAGCTGCTTATTTTCATGAGAACTCATTCAAAGAACTGTTGCTCATCTGTGTTTACCTATGGGTGCTTTGGTGACTTCTACCTACATCCCACACATTATAGGAAACATTTAAAAATTTTGAAAACACATATTTATTGTTCAAAAATATGTTTACAAAAAAAGAGAATTTAACTTTAATCTTAGAAATGAGTATTTTCTCTAGGAACACCTCTTCAGATGTTTCTCTTGACACCCTTCTATTTGGTTCTTTGGCAGTTTTCTGTATAACACATGATGTGCTTCAGTACCCTGACATGACGTGATTCAAGATAATTCCATATTTCAAAGCAGAAAAACAGAAAGAGCCAAATATAGCAAAGCTTAAAGAGAAAATCTAACATATACAAGTTACTGAATCTACTGTACACTGTACCTTACCTGGCTCATATTTGCAGATGTAATTGTGTTTCATGTTGCACCTGTCGTCATTCCACTGGTAAAGGTAGGGGCCCCCAAGACCAGGATTGGCAGTTGGTTGATGATACATCACAACACACTTTTCACTTCCACAGGAAGGTTCATCGGTATACCAGTTTCTACAACCAGAGAGCAACAGGCACACTTCAAGTCATGCCTCCTGAGTGGTTCTGCTTGTTCTACTTCGATATCCTCTGCTATATATTAATGTTAGCCATCACAAAACACACCAAACACCGGAGTAAGGGAAAGGGTTTATTGGGGAACACCCTACAGCCCAGAGTGAAGGGGCAGCGAAGGAAAAAGAGAGAAAGAGAATATAAGAGAGAAACAGAGAGGAGAGGAGCTAGCAAGGAGAGAAGATAGAGCAGAGGAGAGAGGAGAGCAGTGCCAAGAGAGAAGAACCAAGAGCCAAGAGACCAGAGGAGGAGGCTAGAGAGAGGAACCGAGAGAGAAGAGTCAAGAGAGCAGGTGTTCAGGAACAGGCCCTTTTAAAACTTTGCCTGAGGGTGGGCAGGGAAGCAGGAGCAGTGAATCCCATTAGGATGGGGGTGGAGCCTGGCTCAGGTAGCTGGGCCATGCGGCAACCTGGCTACAACTGCGCCAGTTTCCTAACATCCTCCACAGGTACCAGAACCCTCCTCCTACACTTTGGAGACCTCCAGAGCACCACTGAACTCCACGGGAGCGAGACTCACCGGTACTGGGAACTGCTTCCATCAGACCACCGGTAGAGATCGGGGCAGGCACCAGAGGTCTGTCCATCTCCATTTCTCCAAAGACCTATCCAGAAGTCACCATCAGAGATCCCTGTCCCGGGCTTTGTCAAGTTTTGCAGCATGCTCTCCATCAGCTGCTGTTCTGCCGCATTCTCGAGGCTGAGGAGGACGCCTCCCTCACTCTCACAAGCCAGGCGGGCTTCCTGAAAGCTCACGCGGCTGGACAGCTCATGGAAGTAGGCCATTTTGTAACAGGGATGCTTCAAGTCAGCAAAACACACCTTTTGGCCTGCAAAAAAAAAAAAAAAAAAAGCCCATATATGGATTACTGAGCTGTTTTCATAATGCTGCTGATAATCAAAATGAAAGGACCAATAGAGGCGCTGGTGCTATGGCGTTGTAGGATAAGCCTCTGCCTCTGGTGCCGGCATTCCACGTTGGTGCCAGTTCATGACCCAGCTGCTCCTCTTCTGAACAGCTCTCTGCTTATGCCCTGGGAAAGCAGCAGAAGATGGCCCAAGTCGTTGGGCTCCTGCACTCATGTGGGCGATCCGGAAGAAGCTCCTGGCTCCTGGCTTCAGATCAGCCCAGATCAGGCTGTTGTGGCCATTTGGGGGAGTGAACCAGCAGATGGAAGACTTTTCTCTCTGTTTCTCCCTCTCTCTGTAACTGTACCTCTCAAATAAGTAAAATATTAAAAAAAAAAAAGACCAATAGAAATAGAAAACATACTATCAAGAATACTTCTTTCACTAAATCATTTTATAAAGCTTATTTTCTAGCATATTTGTAAAAGCAAATTGAATTCCTGGTAAGCTTAGAACATAAAACCTTCAAACACAGTATTTCAAGGAAATATTTGTTAATACAAGTAAGCATTTTCATGGCTTCGCTTTTATAAACCCATTATCAGAGCAAGTCATATTAAAGGAATTTCAGGTATATATTGGAAAGTGACTAAACGGTCAAAGTGATGAAATAAGAATTATAACTCATAAAGTAATGTAAGTATTAAAAACAAGTAAAGTGAAACAAAAACAATGTTTGGGCCTGCATTATGTCACAGTGGGTTAAGCTGCTGCATCTGACACCAGCATCCCATATTACAGTGTCAGTTCAAGTCCCAGGTGCTCCATGTCCAAACCAGCACCCTGCTAATGCCCCTGGGAAAGCAGCAGAAGTGACCCAAGTATTTGGAGCCCCGGCACCTGAATGACAGCCCAGTTTGGAGGTCCTGGCTCCTTTACCCTAGCCAAGCCTCAGCTGTTGCAGCCATGTAAGGAGCGAAGCAGTAGATGAAAGATCTGTTTCTCTCTCTGTCTCTCCCTCTCTCTGTCACTCTGTCTTTCAAATAAATAAACTATGTTTTTAAAAAATTTGCATTAGGTATTCTGAATAAGATGCAAAGTTTGGTGTAAATATTTGATTTTATTGTGTATGTTGGACAGCAAATTCATTCAAACTAAAAATTGAGAGAAGGTAGAAAGAAGGTAACTATAGGGGTCAGTGCTGTGGCATAGCGGGTAAGGCCGCCACCTGCGGTTTTGGCATCCCATATGGACACCAGTTCGAGTCCCAGCTGCTCCACTTCTGATCCAGCTTTCTGCTATGTCCTGGGAAAGCAGTAGAAGATGGTCCAAATCCTTGGAACCCTGCACCTATGTGGGAGACCAGGAAGAAGCTCCTGGGTCCTGGCTTTGGATTGGCTCAGCTCCGGCCACTGCAGTCAATTGGGGAACCAGTGGCTGGAAGACCTCTCTCCTCCTCTCCTCTCCTCTGCTCTCCTCTGCTCTCCTCTCCTCTCCTCTCCTCTCCTCTCCTCTCCTCTCCTATCTTCTCCTCTCCTCTCCTCCCCCCCTCCCCTCCCTTTTCCTCCCCTCTCTTATCCTCTCTCCCTAACTCTGACTTTCAAATAAATAGATAAATATTTTTTCTAAAAAAAGAGGATTACTATAAAAATAAATAATTGATTAGCATAACTTTATGTTAGAGGTGACTGGGTAGATTTTTGTAGCACTCATTTTCTTTGAAAAATCCCCTTGCCAGTTCTTTGGGTATTTTCTTTTTCTTTTCTTTTTTTTTTTTAAGATTTATTTATTTATTTGGAAGTCAGAGTCACACAGCAGAGAGAGGAGAGGCAGAGAGAGGTCTTCCATCCGCTGGTTCACTCCCCAGTTGGCTACAACAGCTGGAGCTGCACCAATTCGAAGCCAGGAGCCAGGAGCTTCCTCTGGGTCTCCCACATGGGTGCAGGCGCCCAAGGACCTGGGCCATCTTCTGCTGCTTTCCCAGGCCACTGCAGAGAGCTGGATCGGAAGTGGAGCAGCCGGTTCTCAAACCGGCGCCCATATGTGATGCTGGTGCCTCAGGCCAGTGTGTTAACCCACTGAGCCACAGCGCCGGCCCCTTGGGTATTTTCTATTTTGTTGGATATATTGTGTGTGAACTCCAATTCCTAGACCAATGTCATCTTTTATTTTACAGAAATATCTTGGATAATTCATAAATTCCAAATAAATTTTCTCAAATTGTAACTGAATGGGTAAAATATTGAAAAAAGAAATTCATTTTAAATATGAATAGAAATCTGATAGTTTAGAAACCAGAGGGAATGAATATATCATGAAATAAAGGAATTCATGAAATCTCATCAATAACTAATTTTGTGTATTTCTGATAATTTGAATGGAAATCAGGGTAGGCTGAAATTTGACAAAACTTGTCTTTCAAAGACAGTTAAGGGGCCGGCACTGTGACGCAGTGGGCTAAGCCTCCGCATGTGGCACCGGAATCCCATATGAGCGCCTATCCGAGTTCTGGCTGCTCCTCCTCTGATCCAGCTCTCTGCTATGGCCTGGGAAAGCAGTGGAAGATGGCCCAAGTGCTTTGGCCCACGTGGGAGACCCAGAAGAAGCTTCTGGCTCCTGGCTTCGGATTGGCTCAGCTCCAGCCATTTGCAGCCATCTGGGGAGTAACTAGCAGATGGAAGATCTTTCTCTCTGTCTCTGCCTTTCACTTCTGTAACTCTACCTCTCAAATAAATAAATAAATCTTTAAAAAAAAAAGACAGTTAAATGTTTAGCTCGAAACAGGTAAGCTGACAAATCTTTAACAAAGTTAACATCAATGAATAAGTAAAAAGAATATTCAGAATCTTAAGGGATATTTAAAATGTATTTTTTTTTTTATTTTATACTGGTATCTTAAAGCCCTTTTAAATTACAGTGCACAATTTAACCACCTAGCCTGGTAAATACTGACTTTAAAAGTCACTACATATATTGTAAGTAAATGGTTAAAGATATACAGAACAATCAAAGCTTATTATGATTCTTAAGAGCTTTTTTTTTGACAGGCAGAGTGGACAGTGAGAGAGAGACAGAGAGAAAGGTCTTCCTTTTGCCGTTGGTTCACCCTCCAATGGCCGCCGCGGTCGGCACGCTGCGGCAGGTGCACCGCACTGATCCGATGGCAGGAGTCAGGTGCTTCTCCTGGTCTCCCATGCGGTGCAGGGCCCAAGTACTTGGGCCATCCTCCACTGCCTTCCCCAGCCACAGCAGAGAGCTGGCCTGGAAGAGGGGCAACCGGGACAGAATCCGGCGCCCTGACCGGGACTAGAACCCGGTGTGCTGGCGCTGCAGGCGGAGGATTAGCCTAGTGAGCCGCGGCGCCGGCCCTTAAGAGCTCTTAATAACATATCACCTTTTTGTCAAACTTCACTGTTGATATATCACTAATTTCCATCTACTCCAACATCTGTGAAATCTTAAATGCACAGGCAATGAGTTTGGTTAAAATTTGACAACTGAATTCCACATACCCCTACAATGAAGTAAATTAATTTTTCTATTTATAGTAGCATGACTGAAAAGTTGCATGATAATATTAGGTTACCACAAATCCATCTATTTAAAGTTATATTACAGTGTACAGGAGTAAGTTAATTCTATCATTGATGAAATTCATGTTGTTTCATTGTTTACCCTATTTCAGCCCCAACGAGGTGGACAACATAGAAACAAGCTCTGGAATGGTCCTATGTTGGTTTTCTGTGTTGGTTTTCATCAATTTTTTTTTCCTTTGTTCAACTTTGATTTCTGGTCTCAACTTTAAAAACTGCCATGGGGCATGCATTTGCCCCAGCTATTAAGATGCTGGTTAAGATGCCCACATCCCCAAACAGCATACCTGAGTTTCAGTACCATCTCTGATCACAATTTCAGCTTCCTGCTGATATAGACCCTGAGAGGCATCAGGTAATATCTCAAGTGGTTAGGTCCCTATACCTACATGGGAGATCTAGATTGACTTTCCAACTTCTGACTTCAGCCTGACCCATCCTGAGTCATTTCCAGCATTTGGAAGGTGAACCAGTAGACAGGAGTTCTCTCTGTGTCTGTCTGACTCTTCATCTCTCTCAAATTAAACACACTCACTCACACACTCACACACACACACACACACACACAACAAAATCCCATAAAAACCAAAGCAAAACAACTCTGCCATGGATTCCTTTTCCCCAAACTGCTGTCCACAGTCTCCACTACTCTCTTAGTCACACTGACTTTACCTTAAATTTGGCCTTGGAAAACAAAATGTCAAACATTTTACATAAACTCAAATTACTTTATGCCAAGAAATTTAGACAAAGTTATGCTTTCTTAGAGTTCATCTGCATTATTCTTTTTTTTTACAAGCAGAGTGGACAGTGAGAGAGAGACTGAGAGAAAGGTCTTCCTTTTTCCATTGGTTCACCCTCCAATGGCTGCCACGGCCGGCGCACCGCACTGATCCAAAGGCACTCTCATGGGGTGCAGGGACCAAGCACTTGGGCCATCCTCCACTGCACTCCCTGGCCACAGCAGAGAGCTGGCCTGCAAGAGGGGCAAACAGGACAGAATCCGGCGCCCCGACCGGGACTAGAACCCGGTGTGCCAGTGCCGCAAGGTGGAGGATTAGCCTAGTGAGCCACAGTGCCTGCCCATCTGCATTATTCTTATTAGGTTTCAAAGGCCTTTTCTACTACAAAACTTCTTTGCAGCCTGTCAAGAAAAGTTATCAGTAGTGGGGAATTGGAGGTGTTATTGTACTTAATCATTTAAGTAAATAAATAAATATAAATGAATATTCAATCTTTGTCCCTTTACGTACTGTGCATAACACCGAGCTAGTGCATCACATACTTTTCCTCTTACAATCGGCAATGAATGACCTAGGATGCCTACAGGCAGAGAGGAGCCGATGTCTGTGAAAGGCCATTAACCTCACAGCAGTGTTTGAGTGATA